GCAGGTTTCTACTTGCACACTAAAAAACTATGAGGAAGCAATGTGCAAGTTTCTATTTGCACACTTAAAAACTATGAGGAAGCAATGTGCAAGATTCTACTTGCACACTTTTTTTTATGGATAAAGTATTATTAAAGATAGATTAGTATTGAATATTTGGCAATGATCGGTGAAGAAGTTACCAATTTTTGCCTAAAAAGTGTACAAATCATACACGTAATCTTATATACAAAGTATCATTAAAGAAAGGTTGTTTCGAATTTGGCGAAGATTAGTGAAAGAGTTACCGATTTCTGCCTAAAAAATGTATAGGGTAGACCGAGGCAAATCGGATTACTAATTAGCACGATAAAATTGCTCGTTTAAAATAAAATACTAACGAAAATTGTCTTACAACTTATATTAATCCGATTCGCCTCAAACTACCCTAAGTTATTTGATGGATAGCAATCCTCAAAACCGATCCTCAAAAAATTTACATTCGACGTTTTTGAACATAAGCAACACATTGGCATCAAAAACTCAAAAAACAATTTTTACTTCGGTCTTTTCTACCCCTATTTCATATATAATTCTTTTAAATTCGGTTGATTAGACTTAGCTTTATATGCGATTAAAATTATGGACCTTTGATCGCGTATAAAGCTGGAATCAACCAATGGCATCGAAAACTCAAAAAACAATTTTTACTTCGGTCTTTTCTACCCCTATTTCATATATAATTTTTTTAAATTCGGTTGATTAGACTTAGCTTTATATGCGATCAAAATTATAAACCTTTGATCGCGTATAAAGCTGGGTCTAATCAACCAAATCTTAAAAAATTATATATGAAATAGGGGTAGAAAAGATTAAAAAATATAATAAAATTAGAAATAAATCGATATCTCCAAATTTTTGTCTGATATTAGAGGGATATTTCGAGTTTACCGAAATTTTTATAACTCCAGAACTAATCAATCAAATCTTAATGAATTATATATGAAATAGGGATAGAAAAAACTGAAGAATATAATAAAATTAGAAGTAGCCCAATATTTCAAAATTTACAAAAGTTATAGCAACCACGGACATTTCTAAAAAAATAAAAAAAAGAACTCCTTTACCGATCATCGCAAAATTCAATACCAACCTTCCTTGAATGATACTCTATCGATTAAAAAAAAACAGCCCGATGTCTCAATATTTGCCGAAGTTAGCGAGCAATCACGGACATCAAATCTGCACATACATACATACATACATACGGACATGCGATTTTAATGCAATATTTCGACATTTCAGAACACTCTGAACATATTGGCATTAAAAACTCAAAAAACAATCTTTTCTTTGGTTTCTTCTGCCCCTATTTCATATATAATTCATTTAAATTTGGTTGACTAGACCCAACTTTATACGCAATCAAAGGTTCATATACGAAATTCACGAAAACAAAGCTTCCTCTATGAGGAAGCAACAGCGATGAATGGTAATATTCTATACTCATAACTTAAGTGGGATAAGATTAAGTAGAGAGCCATTAAACATATTTTTGTATTTTTTCTAGATACAATAGACATTGCGACTATGAAGAAAAAATGAAAGTTATTGTGCAATACTTATAGGACGTACAAAAATAAACAGCAGAAACCAAGCGGTTCAGCAGGACAAAAGAAATGGGTGCACTTCGAACGAATAAAGTTTCTTAGCGATTTGCAGCCCAAAATCGAATACGTATTTATGAAATAACGAGCGTACAAACATATCTTAATGCAGTAGTACATATTTGTTTATATTCATTGCATGTAAATTTAAACTGAGTGCTGTAAGATATCGTGCTGTTGGCACAGCACTGGCAAGGGAGTTCTGTGGTGGCCGCGCGCGCGCCCCTACCAAGATAGCAACACATTCAGCCACGACCTTGACAACATATTAGCCGGAGAGCTGGCAACAGAAAAAGCAACATGCCTCGGTCCATGAAATATCTTACCTGGAAAAGGTTCGATTGCTGCCGGCAAAGCGAAAGCCCGACCGTCAGAAGGCGGACTGGAAGCTAAGTGGGTGGGCGGGCGATCAAACGTGTAAATTTTCCAACAAAAAAAACTGTCGATCGGCACGGCTGAAAATTTGCATAGGTATCGAGGAGTATGAGAAAAAGCAGGAAAAAAATTGTCAGAAGAGTAAGTAAAAGCTAAAGGGTTGTCAGAAGCTGTTAAAGTTGCAAAAAATCTCGGAAAATTTACATATTAAGAAGCACTTCTGACAATTTGCATTTGTATTGTTTACGTATAGAATAAACTAAGTGCAAAGTGTCAGAAGGCAAAGTGGAAGCGATCATGAGAAAATCGGGTGCAAAGTGCGAGAGCGTCTTTCGGCGCGCGGCGCAGCGCCCAGTGGACCGATCGCTTTTCTCTTGATTTTCACACCGTACATATTTCATAGCACTTCTGACAATTTATCTGAATATTCATAAAGGACTAAAGGAACTATTATT